CGCTGGGGAGAGTGAAAAAAGCCAAAGTCCTCCTCCTCCTGAGCAGAGCGGCCTGAGGAGGGACCAGCCGGCAGCTATTTATGGTAATGGGGGAAGCAGCGGGCTCTGCACAAATGACGGAGTAACGCTGAGGAAGGCACTCCATAGAGTGACGGCTCCTCCCATCCCTGGCTGTTAGGAAGAGGAGAGAGAACGTTTAAAGAAAAAGAAAAAGGGGCCCAGCTAGCGAGGCTCAGTGGCTGAGCATCAACTTGTGAACCAGGAGGTCACGGTTGGATTCCTGGTCGGGGCACAGGCCTGGGCTGCAGGCTCGATCCCTAGTGGGGGCGTGCAGGAGGCAGCCGATCCATGATTCTCTCTCATCATTGATGTTTCTAGCTCTCTTTCTCCCTCTTCCTTCCTCTCTGAAATCAATACTAAAAATATATTTTTAAAAAAGAAAACAAGGGTTCATTCACACAATGAGAGAGAAAGCTCTTATTCTGACAAGGGACACAGGTAGGAAGTCAAAGGGCATTGAGGTGGGGTTTCGAGATGTTACCTGTGCCGCCGGCCAAGGCCAGGGGAGGACATGGCCCAACCTTTCTGACATGAGGCTAAGAAAGACTGGCGTTCTCCCCTCTAATACCAAGGGGCCCGGCTTTCTCACGGACCGCCTGGGGTGTCTCTGGCCGCGGCTTAAGAAGAATTCCCCAGGGACCCCTGCCCAGCGTGGCAGCTCACCATGACCGTCGTGGAGCGGACAGGGATTTTATATTTCCCCTCCTAGCTCCAAAGACCTGCGCTGCTGTGTGCCTGAGATTTCTCCTGCACCAACACGTACGGCTCTGCTGGACACCAGGCCGGTGACGCCCGGTCCCTCCCAGGGCCCGGCCCGCCCTCGGGGAACATGCGTTCAACGGACTAGCCTGCCCTCCCATCCCTGACACAGGCTCCCGGGGGTCCGATCCACCCTCAGCTTGGAGAGAGCATCAGGCAGGAGGGAAGCTCGCAAACGGAAACGCAGGAACTCGGTTCCTGCCTCGCCCCCTCCTCGGCGCCCCACGCGTCTACGGAGCCTGCCCCTTGGTGGGTTTCTCGTGGCAGGAACAGAAAACTCAACCTGAGGGGAGCGTGTAGGAAACCTTTTTTATATGTTTTTATTGAGTTTTAGAGAGAGAGGCAAGGAGAGGGAGAGAGAGAGAAACATCAACGATGAGAGAGAATCGCAGATCGGCTGCCTCCTGCACGCCCCACACTGGGATGGAGCCTGCAACCCGGGCCTGTGCCTCTACAGGCTGGAGAGGGACCTGACTTCACCCTGAGTGTCACTGTAACGGATTTTCTACTCAACACCCTCACCTCTGAAACGAATCTTCGTCCCGCAGCCCCAGCCACCAGGAAGGGCTCCCAGCCTAGGCGCCCGGCCCCTCTCCCTGCTCCCCCTACGAGCCAGCATCACTCCTCTCTGGAATCTTCTATCCCTTCTATCGTCCTCGCCCCTCGCCAGCGCCTTTGAATCCGCAGAAGCCAGCACACACACAGCCTTGTCTAGGGAGGGCTGAGGGAATGTTTGTGTGTATTTTTTTAAATGTTTTTTTAAATAGATTTTAGGGAGAAAAGAAGGGAGAGGGAGCGAGAAGAACATCGATGAACGATAACTATGGATCGACTGCCTCCTACACACCCCATCTTGGGGACTGAGCCCGCAACCCGGGCACGTGCCGCCCGTGAACGGAACCAGCGGCCTCGCCGTGCGTGGGACGACGCTCAGCCCGCAGAGCCGTGCCGACCGGCAGATGTTTTGTGATGAACCTGGAAGAGCGAACTCCCGAGCCTCGCTCCCTGGGCCTCATGACCCTGCTCGCAGGCCACGGAGCCTGCACCCATGAAAAATAGTATGGGATATGGTGCCCCGGTTTCATAGTTCACCCTAATCAGAAACCCTGGATTTCAACGAAACGCCTCCATGAACCATAAAATCCTGCTTTCCTTCCCCCAGTTCCTCCCGAGGTGAACTGAAGCCGAACGCGATGATCGCCCTGCCCGAGCAACACTGAATCTTGTCCCTGAATCAACACTGAACCAACGTCCTTCTGCAGAGTCCCCCCACTTTCTATGCCCCCCCCCCAAGGCAACTCTTGTCAAAGAGAGCTGCCCGCGCTGAGTCACATGTCCCCCGCTTAGTCTATGATTGCTAATGAAAAGGTACCGGGCGTGAGTCACCACCCGGGCGGCAGGAAAGCATGACTCAGCTCACTTAGCAATGCTGCCAGCGCCCCCTCCCACAGCAGCACCGGAAGCAGCGTCCCATGCACCCGGTACGCAGAGCCCGCTGTGAGCGGATGGGCGGCTCAATTTACAGCATAGGAAGAAGATGGTGTGCCCTTTAAATCGACCGGGGTGTTGTTGGGGGAAAAATAGTATGGGATATAGAACATGTCTGGGGAAACGAGCTTAGTGGTTCCAGAGGGGAAATACGAAGGTTTAATGACTTTCTAAACAGCATGGTAGCCCAGCCCGTGTGGCTCAGTGGTTGAGCGTCGTCCCATGCACCAGGAGGTCACAGTCCGATGTGGGTCAGGGCACAGGCCCGGGTTGGGGGCTCCATTCCCAGTAGGGGGCGTGCAGGAGGCAACTGATCAATGTTTCCCTCTCACATCAATGCTTCTCTCTCCATTCCTCTCTCTAGGATCAATACATAAATCCTTGGGTAAGGATTTATTTTTAAAAATACTTTAAACAGAGGGAGAGCCTTCGTCATGACTAAGAAGTTCCAGCGAAGAAGAAGCAAGTTCTCGCTCACACTGAATTCACACATCTCTTCCCAAAGGGGAGGGTGTCCCGGCCTCCGGATATGTATGCCAGACCTCACCCCGGAGAAGGGGAGGGGACCCCGAGGCATCATGTGCCGAGGAGCCGAGGGGAGAGGAACAAGGGAGCCTTTGTCCAAGACGGAGAGGTGGCCCGAGTTTTGACTAAGTCTCCTCACTCGCATCGGGGCCGAGCACCCCCGGCCGCAGCAGCGCGTGTCGAGGGGTCACCGTCACCGTCACCGACCGGAGACCTGGGCTGTCCCTTAGCCGGAGAGGCCAGGAGTCCATGCCCACTCGGCGGGCTCTGGTGCCCGAGAACCGGCGTCTGCTTCCAGGAGGCCTCTGGGGTTATAAGCTGCTTCTAGCATGAAACACACTACTGGGCGCCCCAGTGTGAGAAAGGTGGACCCATGAACCAGGAGGTCCGGGCTCGATCCCCTGTGTGGGGCGCGCAGGAGGCAGCTGGTCCGTGATTCTCTCTCATCATTGATGTTTCTCTCTCTCTCCCTCTCCTTCTCCCTTCCTCTCTGAAATCAATAAAAATATATTTAAAAAAAGAAACGTATAGTTTCTGCTGCATGACTGAAAGCACCCCTTAAAAAAGGGGGATCATCGCCCTAGAGGCACCATGCACGACACACCCAGTGTGGAGGGGATGGTACGACACAGTCCCGCCCCCGTGGGGAGGGGACAGCGCTGGGGGCTGGTGTGGGGCCAGGCAGGCGCCAGGATGCATTCCCACTCGCTGCCCTTTGACCTCACAGCCTCCTATCTCCTGAGCCTGCTCTGGAAGGTTTGCAGAAGGGGGAGATGGGCTCTGCTGGTGCGGGGCTTTGGAGCGAGTTAGGTAACCTCGGTTATCCTTACTTTCAGTTCTGCTACCCATGGAAGGCATTCCACAAATACTTGCTCAAGGAAGGAAGGAGGGAGGGAGGAAAGGGAGGGAGAGAGTCCTGGTCCTCACCAGCATTTCATCCCCAGGGTCCCACCCGAAGAGGCTGCTATAAGTCTTCGCTGTCTTGCTGTTAATTAACAACTGATTTAATGAACATTGTGGATATTTTAAAAATGATTTTTTTATTGATGAAAGTAGTGACTTTTAATTAGCCTGACAAATGCTAAAAATGGCCTCTTTATTGGTGCAATTACAGACTTTCACGCTCTGGGGGTCGACAGGAATCGTTGGAGACACGTCCCGCCCTGGAGTGAACACGGCGTAAGGCTGCGTAAGGCCGGTCCCTGTACCCCCGCAGCTTGCTCCCCCGGGACAGGGTGCAGCGGACAGCCACTGGCTTAGGGGGGTTTCTGCCTGAAGCTTGTCAGCTTGAGGACACGGAACCCTGAGTTCCTGGCCGGACCTTCACTCATGGCTTCCGATACTTAACACATTGCACTTACAGAACAGGGAGGCCCTGGCCTGCTCGGCCTGCCTTAATGATGGTCATTAAGTAGCCGTGTGGCCATTATAATCTCATCACCACAGATTTCAGGGGGCGTCTGGAAAACGTATCCACCACAATTAGCCAGAGAAGGGCATCTGGTGGCATGGGCTGGAGTCGGACGGCAACACCCCCGCTTGGAGAGGCTCACGTCTAGTGATGGGAGCATGAAGAGAGGTAAGAGCAAGATGAGCTTATCTCAAAGCCATAATCTGTGAGAGAGACGAAGGAGTCGGAGGGGAGAAGGCAGGGCTTCCACCCGGGGGTGCCCGAGAGATCCGCCCAGAGGAGCTGATGCCGGGTCTGGAAGGGGAACGCAGAATGTGCCAGAAAGTTGGGGTTTTCTGTGGGGAGGGGAGACCGCCTAGATCAGGGGTGGGCAAACTTTTTGACTCGAGGGCCACAATGGGTTCTTAAACTGGACCGGAGGGCCGGAACATCAGCATGGATGGAGTGTTTGTGTGAACTAATATAAATTCAAAGTAAACATCATTACATAAAGGGTACAGTCTTTTTTTTCAATAGTTTTATTCATTTCAAGCGGGCCGGATCTGGCCCGCAGGCCGTAGTTTGCCCACAGCTGGTCTAGATGCTAAAAGCAAAGGAGATAAAAATGTATTCCTACAAAAAATAACAAATGTGTTACACACACACACACACACATATTTATATCTATAATAATAAAAGCGTAATACGCTAATTAGACCGGATGTCCTTCCGGACGAAGCCAGGGCTGCGAGGGAAGCCAGGGTCCGGGGTGTCAGAGGGAAGCTGGTGTGGCAGCCAGGGGGAAGGAAGGGCTACTCTTGCACAAATTTCATGCATTGGGCCTCTAGTGTATAGATATAGATATAGATATAGATATAGATATAGATATAGATATAGATACAGGTACAGATATAGACATAGATACAGATATAGATATAGAGCTAGAGCTAGAGATAGAGATACATAGATACACAGATATATAGATACATAGATCTATATCTATAGATATAGATATAGCTATAGATATAGATATATAGATACATAGATACATATATATAGAGATATAGATAGATAGATAGATGGATAGATAGATATCACACACACACACTCACACACACACACACACACGCACGCACGCACTGAGAGAAGTCCACCAAACGACCACGCTGAGCGTGGTAAACACGCCTGGCCTGCAGCATCGCTCTCCGGGGTTCCGCTTTTACAAACAGCAGGTGACTGTCCTGACGGTGATTCTGCAGCCACACCTGCCACAGCGACTAAGAAAGTCACCGCCCGCCGCGCGCGCCCGCGCCCTCCGGAACCGCCTCCATAGGACCCAGGGCGGCCCGTCATCTCACGGAGTTAAACCACCTTCCCGCCGATGACATCCTCCCACCGTGTCCACAGGGTCCCCGCAGGCCAGTGGCCATGACGGCTCCCGTCAGAGCGCCTGCTCCCCCCGGGGTTGGGGGGGGGACGCTGGGCCCGGGAGAATGGGGCCTGGGGCTACTCCCCTGCTGGTAGGAACCAAGGAAGTCCTGTCTTTAAACACAGATTTTAAATCCCTTTTCCTGTCTGTTACCGCGTCTGCACATGAGCCAGCGTGTGGAGGCCGCGAAGAGCACATTGACGTGGTGTCCCTGGCTTTGACCAGGTCGGAGTGCCACCGTTGGTGCTAGGAACCAAACGAGTGGCAGCACTGGGCACGAAGTCACAGGCTCAGGCCCTCGATGCGCCCTTTACCCACCGGAGCAAACCGCCTCCGCTCCCCAGACGGAGTACCCGAGGCGGGGTGCGAACCGTAAATGGTGCGCCCCCTTCACCCACAGACGTGATGAACACGCCGTGTCCTTCCACTGCGCACAATCAATAAACGTTATCGGCATCTATGTTAGAAGAAGAGCCGTCACTTACTCAGTACTTCACACATGCTTACAGTGAATTCTTTTAAAAAAATACATTTTTTATTGATTTCAGAGTGGAAGGGAGAGGAAGAGAGAGATAGAAACATCAATGATGAGAGAGAATCATGGATCAGCTGCCTCCTGCATGTCCCACACTGGGGATCGAGCCTGCAACCCAGGCAGGTTCTCTGACCGGGAATTGAACCGTGACCTCCTGGTTCACTGTAGCCAGCAGGGCGACAGTGAATTCTGATCAGGCACCAAGCTAACGACTTCTCTCTCCCCTCACAAGGGCACGGAGGCTGGGAGCTATAACTCCATGCACCCCGAAGGGCAGTGAGCAGCCTACTCGTTAAAGGACCAGGGAATGCCACGTGTTATCATGGTGTTGTCTTCCTGGCACAGTGCCGACTGGAGAATTAATCTGAGGCCATCTGTGCTTACCAGGGGCATTAACACTGGTCCCCGGACCCATTCTCTCTCTCCAACAAATGAGATAACTCTCTCTAACAATCTTGACAATCCTCTGAACATGCTGAAATACACGGAAAGACAGCAGTGGGCACCGGAGCCATGTTCTGTCAGCATTAGTTAGGAGACCATTTCTTATTGGGGCCTTGTGTTTGCTATTCTTTCTACAGGAAACTCGGAGAAGAAAAAGCATGAAACGCTCGCTCCTTTCCCTCCACCACGGAGTGGGTGTGCCAGACGGGCTGAGCGGCCCCAGAGCGGGCGGCAGCATCGCCGGCCCAGGTGGCTACTTGACCCGGGAAATCGGCTCACATGGTGTGTTTCTCGGATGTACCAAGCGATTGATGGTCTCCAAGGAGCGTTCTCACCCACCTGCTTCTCCCGGCAGCTCACGAGGGCAGGAGGCAATAAGTCAACACTTTTCCAGAGGAGACAATGGCTCAGAGAAGCCCCAGGGATGAGCAGTGGGGGTGGAGGTGGGGAGACAGAGCAAGGCACAGGGGTGGGGTGGGAGAGAAGCCGGGGGAGGGAGAGAGACGTGGAGGGAGGGGGAACGCTAGCTGTTTTCCGCGTCCTGGGCCTTTGCTCTCTCCTCCCATCACCGTTTCCTTATCCATTTGCAAAGGGGAGGGGATGAATGGAGAGAGAGAGAGAGAGAGAGAGAGAGAGAGAGAGACTACGGGGAGGCAGGAGGAAAGGAGGCCAGCGACGACTAGAATGAATGAGGGTGTCTCAGTAGAGAAGGTCCAGAGGCTGGAGGGACTCTAAACAGACCCGCAAGGAGGACCTCTGACCCCCGGGGCACCTTGGACGTCCTGCCAACCTGAGGAGCCCAGAGGCGCTGGCTAGAGAATGGCGCACGCGCACACACACACACACATGCACGCGTGCACACACATGTGCGCACACATGCACACATGGGGGCAGCGTTGGACACACAGCTGTGCAGTGTTCACTGTGCCCCACTCGGTGCGAGGTCCCATGGAAGACACGCCCCTCAGAAGGAGAGGCCCCTCAGCCCCTCCAAATAACGATGATCTCATCGGCCCTGGCCAGTGCTCTCAGCGGTTAGAGCACCAGCTTCAGCACCAAAGGGTCTCGGGTTCGATTCCCGATCAAGGGCATGTACCTGGGTCAAGGGCCTCAGTTGGGGTGCGTGTGGGAGGCAGCCAATTGATATGTCTTGCTCACATCAATGTTTCTCTCTCTCTCTTCCTCCCTCGTGCCCTCCCTCCCTCTCCCTCTACTCTCTCTAAAAATCAATGGGAAAAATACCCTCGGGTAAGGATTAACAACAACAAAAAGGGTCTCATCACCACCCAGCCACCAGCGGTCTTGTGTTACATGCATGTGCACATACGTACGTAAGTGCCCATGAACGTCTTTATCAGGATGACTTACGTATGACCTTTGGCGTGTTTACCTAACGAGGCCTTGGACTCCTTAGGGTCAGACAGCCCGGTTTGCTTCTGAAGGGCCCATTACAGCCTCTTCTCTGCCTGCTGTGGTGCCTGCAGCCCAGACTCACTAAACAGTTACTGAATTATTATCTTATTAATAATGCGAACGAGAGACTGATTCTTTTTTAAAAAATATATATGTTTATCAATTTCAGAGGGGAAGGGAGAGGGAGAGAGAGATGGACACATCAATGATGAGAGAGAATCATTCATTGGCTGCCCCCTGCAGGTCCCCATACTGGGGATCGAGCCTGCAACCAGGCAGGTGACCTGAACCAGAATCGAACCAGGGACCCTTCAGTCTGCAGGCTAACGCTCCATCCCCTGAGCCACACCAGCCAGGGCGGGAGAGTGATTCTTATGGAGTATCCACTATGGGCCAAGGGTGGTATTTATATGTTAAATCTAATTTAATACTCAGAATCCTGTGACTTAGAAAACTGGGGCCCGAGGAGCTTAAGTAACTTGTCCAAGGATCCCTGCTGTCCAAGGTCACCCTGCTGGTCAAGGTCACCCTGATGGTCAAGGTCACCCAGCAAGAAGGCTCCCCAACTGTTAACACAACAGCAGGACGGACTTTGAATCTAAAGCCAGATTTGTTAGACTCCAGCCTGGTCCCCAAGTCACCACCATAGAAAAATGGTAAAATTGAAAAAATACATTGCTTTCCAGGTTTAGATACATGCGTTTACCAAGCATGAAACCAAACCTCAGCTTGTGGCAGCGAGAGGAGCGACGTTCCAAACTCAATCTGAAGGATTAGAGATGAGTCTGGGAAGTGAGAAGCTGTGTGTTATGAGGAACCTTTATCACTGCAGCCAGGACTGTGGGAGGAGGAGGAGGAGACGGAGGCACGCGCTGTGTGAGGAAACCACGCCTGCATGTGCTGACAGGGAAGGCACAGGCTGGGGAGTCTGGCAGAGTCGGTTAAATTCCGGGCAGAGCATGTTTGGCTGTGGTCCTCGGGCAAATTACTTCCCCTGTCTAAGTCTCATTTTCCCAGTGATCGGTGACAATAATAATACCTGCTTTCAGCCCGGCCGGTGTGGCTCAGTGGTGGGGCATCGACCTCTGAACCAAGAGATCGTGGTCTGATTCCCGGTCAGGGCACAGGCCCAGGTTGCGGGTTCCATCCCCAGTGTGGGGCATGCAGGAGGCAGCCGATCCATGATTCTCTCATCATGGATGTTTCTCTCTCTCTCTCTCTCCCTCTCCCTTCCTCTCTGTAATCAATAAAATATATTTTAAAAATAATAATAATTGCTGTCAGAGAGAACGCAAACACTGGATGGGTAGAAGGCAGAGAACTCAACCCAGGACAGCAGCGCTGCCATGACCATTCACAACAGCGTGTTCACGCGTGTGGCTGCCACGCCCCTCCCTGGACAGGG